TGAGCCTGCACTCCTTGTCAATTGTCTGGTATGTATATACATTTCCTCAAATAACTTATCATGAAGAAACACATTTTACACATCGAGTTGGTGTAACATTCATCCAACATTCACTGTCAGAGAAACTTGTGTCTTCACCAAGGTTGTGAAAATCAGACCAGACATCAAATTGGAAGAAGAAAAAGTTCAAGATTAATTGGTTATAAATAAAAATGTATTTCACAAAAAAGCTTAATTATATTAGCATTTTAAATATGATTTTAAAATTGAAGTGTGACCACAGATATATAAATACATAAGTGGTGATATGTATGTAAATCTTCCCTTTTTTTCATATATTTAAAACACTATTACTGTCACTAAAAATTAATAAATATTATGTGGAAGTATTTGCAGCTAAAATAAAATCAAATGGAACTTATAGTTACTAAAAATGTTTAAAAGCACTGTTAATTCATTTTAATCTGTGAACTAATATACATATATATACATATGAAAAGTTGGAAACGGCTAGCCCATGCTTTGGAATTCGAAGAATTAGCATTTTTGTGATGTTACTTTCTACCTTTTTGAATTGGACAACTGGGCCTGCGTGTAGATTGATGATGGAAAAAATATAAAATAATATATTTCTGTTTTAAAAAGGAGCAAGTTCTTCGGTTTGTCGGTTGAATTGAGTATAAGTAGTAGTGTTATCCTTTGATGGTGATGGGGTGGATGCATCCTCAGCCCTATCACGTGCTGCTTTATTCTTCCTCTTCAATATCTCCAGAAACTCATGATCCTCATCGGTAAAGACCACACCTAGCTCTTTCTCGTCCTTTGCTTTCATCAGATTTGTTCGGTAATCCCCGTTCCACCTCTCGACCACCATGGCCACAAAACAACCTCCAAACTGTCCACATCCACCCGTCTCTCTCCTTAGGTGGCCTAAGACGAACCTTGCATATATGGCCAACTTTACCATAGTTGTAGTGCTTGCGAGCCCTCCTTGGAAACTTATCATACCTGAGCTCTAGGCAGTCAGGTTGATCGCGTACCTGAAAGCTCACTCGGCTCGGAGTGTAGCCTCATGTGACTTTCCTCTTGTATCATCATAGTGATAGCCTCATCCAGTGAAGGTATCATTACCAAGGCTAGGAGGACTGATCTCCTTTGATCAAAGGCTTGGTTCAGATGAGCCAGAAACTACATAGTCCTCATCTATATGCAAAAATCTCCCCCTTGCACTCTGGTTCACTATAGCTCGACATCGATAAAAAGTGATCAAGATCTGGCAACTGTCGCTCCAGATCTATGGAGTACTCTTGAATCGATCTATCACATGTACCACAACTATTTCATACTGAATCTGAAACACTCACAAATGATTCTCAGCTCCAACATAAATCTTTTTCAACTTTGCCTATATATCACCCACCTTTCGAATGTCATCTACTAATGAGGCAATCAATGAAACCATCAAGTTGAGTAGCTAGGCGTAAAACAAGGTATGTGTGATCCTCCACTCATTTCCCACAGCACTGTCACACTTTGGCTCAACCCCCATCAGGTATATCTCTGTTCTCTTCCCTATTAGAGTAGCCTCGATCCGACGCGACAAATTTAGTTATGTGGCTGGTCTATTAAACTCAGATCTATGGGAGGGAGATCTAGCTGCACCTGCGTTAAAACACGTGCTGAGATAATGGCTCTCGTCGAGACACTAGCTCCCTGTATGAGCTTGACCAAGACCTTTAGAGCTTCGGGATCTATCTTCCTTGGAAGTTTCAATCTTTACCTCTCGCACATCTCTGTTTCCTGACATCTTCAATTACAAGGATCAAGTCTAGATCACACACGATTGCCTTCCTACACATTTGTGCTATTAGCTTTGCCTTAGCCAGCATGAAGCCGCAACCCCTCGTCTTGCATGCAAAATCGCAGCCGCTACAATCCTTTGCCTCTCTGCCGCCAATTGCAACTCCAGAAACGAAGGCTCTGCTACGCTGCCTTCCTCACTCCCAAGCCGCGTGCAAGTCCGCACCAGACCTACCTCCCTGTGTCACGATTGCCACGCTGCCTCACCCGCAATATCAATATAGTCGCGGCTAGAGTCCATTGAGAAGGCAACGACAAGACTGTTGAATACGAAGACCACTGAAGCTGCTCCAGCCTCCTTGCGTTTGAAGTTGAAGCCTACTCGGTTAGCTCTAATCACGACTGCTTTGTGAGGACGATATCGATCCCGACTCATCGGGGCTGCTTTACAATCCTGACTTGTTGTGGCTATTATCACAACTGCTTCGCGAGGATGATGTTGATCCTGACTCGTTGTGGCTCTTTTCCTGATTTCTTTGCGAGAACGACGCCATTCTCGACTCGTTGTGGCTGTTTTGCGAGGACGATGCTGAAGGAAGAGAAAAATGGAAGTTTTAGGTCTCTCTACGCCGATCCCGACTCGTCGGATCGAGCAACAAGCGGTAGGGTTATGGCTTTGATTTATTTGTATAGAAAAAATTGCTCTCAAAAATCTTAGTTCATTGCATTAATGACTTGGCTTATATAGAGCCTTACAACATTTTTTGTAATAAATCCTTGGACTTCCTCTTTTTACAAACAGGAAAATAAATTAGTTACAAATCTTAACAGTCAGGGAAAATTCATTTTATTCCAGGTAATGGGAAGGTCTTCTCCCAATGACAAGCTTTTACTTGTCCAAGCACTGAGGAAAAAGGGTCATGTGGTTGCTGTCACTGGAGATGGCACCAATGATGCTCCTGCATTGCATGAGGTATGCTAAATTCAGAAAGTCCTTAAGTTAATTTAGAGGTAATTTTTTTATTCATTTTCTTCACTAGTGATTATTCAATCTCATTTGTTTTGGGTTTTAGGCAGATATTGGTCTTGCAATGGGAATTCAGGGCACTGAGGTTGCAAAAGAAAGCTCAGACATTATTATTCTCGATGATAATTTTGCATCAGTTGTAAAGGTTGGATTGAGCTTTCCTTATAATTATATTAGATTCACTATTCTTTTGATGAGCTGAACTTGGAAATAACTGGTATATATTCTAGGTTGTTCGGTGGGGTCGATCAGTTTATGCAAATATCCAGAAATTTATTCAGTTTCAGCTCACTGTTAATGTTGCAGCACTTGTGATTAATGTGGTTTCAGCTGTTTCATCGGGTGAAGTTCCTCTGAATGCAGTTGAGGTGAGAACATTAGAGAATAGACATCTTTTATTTGTAATTTGTATAGAAATGTGATACCACATGATTAAAATGCACCATTGAATCCTCATGAAACCACCTTGGGGAACTTCTCTTATTTCACTCTAGTTTTTACATACAGGCTTTCCAATATCTCGCTGAAGATTTTATTTATGTATATCATTCATTTCATGAAATAGCTTTTTCGAATGTTAACAGTCCTATGATGTAGAGTAAGATGCTTGGATACCACATTGATTTAGAATAAGATACTTTGATAACAATTGATGTAATGTTGATGATCACCTTGCAGTATGTGCTTGATTAGCATTTTAATAAATAATTCTTAACGATGTTATTTTCTTAAAGTTTGTTTAAGCATCAGATTAGGTGAAGGATCCATAGTATATTTTTAAGCCCTTTTATAGAGTTATTAAGGAGATTGAAGAGAATCCAGTGATCCAAATTATTACTGACAAGAATAGTGCTTACGAGGTGGCAATAAATAAGTTGGTAGAGAAAAAAAAAACACATTGCATTGGCTTGATCCTTGAAATTTGAAAAATTGCCCTTGCATAAGATCTTCTAGACTAAAGCTAGGAAGATTGGTAAGTTCATTTATAATCATAGTTGTTTTGTCTTTATTGAGGAGGTTTTTTACCTTGTCAATCGTGTCTTTCGATTGAGGCTATTGGAAGAGTGGGAATCAATGTTTTGCAATTTTGGGAAGGAATTTGATGTGAAATTTGGTAGGAGAGAGAGATTAGTAGATAATATTTTCAAGTGCAATTCATAGTTCAATTATCCCAATAACATCTATTCAACCCCTATTTATAGAAAGTGAGTTGCATGATAAATCCAAGTTTAATTTAGAACATAAAATTTAGATGTGTTACAAAAACTGACTTATAATTTAGATAAAAATTATATTAATATCAAATAAAATAAAATTGAAATAAAATTCTAAAATAATCTAAAATATCATAATATTCTATAGATAATCTAGAATTGTCTATTTTTGTCAACTGTAGTATTATGAAATGATTTTGCAATCAAATTTGTTATTTCATTCAACATATATGTTTAAGTAGGTGTTACAATGTTTAACAAATAAACTCAATAAAACCCTTTATTTACACATAGCTCACAACACTATCCCTCAAGATGGGCGAAAGATATTAACTAAGTCCATCTTGTTTCATAATCTGGTTAACTCCACTGAACTAAGTCCTTTATTGAGGGAGTCAGCCGCCTGCTCTCCAATAGCTAATTCAATGGCCCTATATTCTGCCTCTGTTGTTGATTTTGCTATAACTGACTGCTTCTTGTTTTTTCACGAGACCAAGTTGCCACCTACAAACATGCAGTATCCTGATATGGATCGTTTGTCATTAGCATAACTTGCTCAGTCAGAATCACAAATGCCCTCAATATTTACATGTTCATTCTTCTTGATTATCAACCATTTCCCTGGTGGACTCTTCAGATACCTCAAAATCTGATACACTGCATCTATATGACCCTTCCTTGGATCATGCATGTAGCGGCTCACCACACTTACTACAAAAGGGATATCAGCTCGAGTGTGGCGCAAATATATCAAGAGACCCATCAGCCTCCGGTACCTCTCACGATCAACTGATTCACCTGCTTCTGTATTGAGCTTGGCTTTCTGATCAATTAAAGAGACTGCAGGGTTGCACCCCTACGTACTTGTTTCCGTGAGAAGATCCAGTACATACTTTCTTTGGGATAGGATCATCCATGGGTTTCCTCAATCTCGAGAAAGTATTTGAGCTATCCCAAATCCTTTACCTCAAATTGCTTCCTCAATCTCCCTTTAGTTGAGCAATTTATGTCTCATCATCACTGATGATAATTATGTCATCCACATACATAATAAGTATGGTAATGTGATTTTCATGTCGTCGAAGTGGTTTACATTGATCTGTTGATATCCTATGCTAACCATCGTCATTTTATACTTGTCAAACCAGGCTCGAGGAGACTATTTCAAGCTATACAATGACTCTGTGAGCTTACACACCTCGCTCACTGTTTGAGTTGTACTGAATCCTGGTAGTATCTCAACTGAATCTTGGCTCAAGACTTCACCTGTCTTTGTACTGAGCTTGACCTTCTGATCAATTGTAGAGACTGCATGTTTGCACCCCCACATACCTGTCTCCGTGAGAAGATCCAATAAATACTTTCTTTGGGATAAGACAATCCCCTCAGGTCCATGAGCCACTTCAATCTCAAGAAAATATCTGAGCTATCCAAGATCCTTTACCACATTGTTTCTCCAATATTTCTTTCAGCTGAGCAATCTCTGTCTCATCATCACCGGTGATAATTATGATAGTGTGGCATTTTTTGTTACAAAAGAACACTGTTTGATCTACATTAATCTGTAGATATCTCATGTCAACTATCGTCTCTTATCAAACCAGGCTCGGGGAGACAGCTTCAAGCCATACAGTGACTTCCTGAGCCTCCACACCATGCACACTGTCTAGGATGTACTAAATTCTAGTGGTATCTTCATATATACCTCCTTTAATAACTCCCTATGAAGAAAATCATTCATATCCAGTTGGTGGAGTCTCCATTCACCATTCACTTTCAGATAAGCCAGTATCCTCACCGTGCTCATCTTTGTAACTGGTGCAAATGTTTTATTATAGTTAATGTCATACGTTTGATTGTACCCTTTTATCACTAGTCGTGCTTTGTACCTCTCCACATTCCCTTCTAGAGTTTGTTTTACCGTAAAGATACACTTACATCAAACTGCCTTCTTCCTTGCTTGAAGTGATACAATCTCCCATGTTCGATTTTTATCAAGAGCTCCAAGCCCTTCATGCATCACCGCTTTCCACTAGGGTTCCTCTTTACCAACCTGCCAACACTATTATGAAGAGACAGAGTCTAATGATGCAATGAATGTCCATGCAAAGGTGAGATGTTTGAATGAGGAATGAAGTTTGCAATATCAAGTTCCCACCCAAAACAATCAGGAGGATGCTCTGCATTGCTGTTGGAGGTCCTTTACGTTTTTTTTTTTTTTTGGGGGGGGGGGGGGGGGGTTAGGAATAATATCACCTGGAAGTTTTGAATCAAAGGTGGATAGTGTAAGTGTCTCAAGAGTTGGGGAAAAGGCATGGACAAGGGACTTGTTGGCACCACAGACTTTGTTCTCTTAATTTGTTTCTTCCTCTATGTACACCCTTAGCTCACATTCAGCCTGAATCCCAACACTTCTAGGTTCAATCTCCTCGATTTTCGTCTTCTCAGTTGATTAATCCCACATCACAGGACATGACATTGCTCCCACTTTCATCCCTCAATCACCGCTACTACTCACTCTCTCTTGTGTCATATCTCTATTGTCTGTTAAATTACAGAAAGGTGAATGCACCTCCAGAGTATAGAATGGTTTAAACTCTTTGAATGACACATCCATAATCACAAAGCGTCTCTTCTCAATTGGATTCGACAGACATAACCTTTCTGAGCAGCAGAATAACCCACGAACACATATTTCACAATTCTGGGATCCAACTTCCCTAAAGTTTGTTTGTTGTCTTTCAAAAAGCATACATATTCAAATATTTTCAATGGAAAGATTCTGCAATTGTTTTCTTTGAATATTTAACGAGAAGGCTTCCACTCCGACACTCTTGAGGGCATTCTGTTAATCAATTGAGCGGTTGTCAACACTATTTGCCCTCGTAAATGTTGTGGGTCATTCATTGCAAGCATCATGATTTGGGCTACCTTCAGAAGATGTTGATTTTTCCTCTCGGCTATTCAATTTGTGCTAGTGTGTATGAGCATGTGATTTGGTGTTGTATCTCTTGAGCTGACAGGTAGTCATCAAAT